GTGTAGATGTCTTGCGCGATGTGATGGATGCCCAGCGCCACCGCCGACCCTATGTTATCACTTTCTGTGGGGTCAATGGAGTTGGGAAGTCGACCAACTTGGCCAAGGTACTTAGAAGGCCCTGCACGCGTTGGGGACGGGTGCTCTTCTTTTTCCCTAACTGTTCTTCTGTCTGATGTTGAAAGTGAGGCGATAGCTGTAAGTAGGATCCCCCGATGTAAGGTTTACATAATTTAACAGGTCATGCTAATACTCGTGCTTTGCCTCAGTACTGTTTTCAAATTTCTGGTTGGTTCCCAATTTCTGCAATCCAGATCCTATTGCATTGTTTATTGGATGTCCCATCCTGTTGATTATATTGACTTACACCGTGCAGGCTGTCTTGAGTCCCAGTGAGAAAGGTGGACTATGAACAATGTTGGGACTTGGTCAGGTGACATACCGTCATGTCCCGTGGGTGGGCAGACAGTGACCTACATTCCCATAGGAAGCTTTGTTACTCAGCCCTCAAGTCCTTGACAAGAATCCCCAGGGTCTCAGCTTTTAAAACTTGACTCGATACGGCGTAGCTGTCACTGTGCTGCCAGATCCATAGTATACCTACCCCTCAGCTTTTATGCTTATTTTCATAGACAAAAGGCTGATTCTCATCCGTATATTCATCGCTTGTTGACTGTAGCGCAGCCTTGATGACCCGCATGTGTGAATGGGCTGTTGCAAATTAAACAACACAGATGCACCTCTCTCACCAGGGGCTGGCTCAGAAAGCTTGCGCTTCAGTGGAGATGATTCATGCATTTGGCTGAGAGGCGTCTAGTAATCAAGCAGTGTGCATGTATGTATCAACCAGCCCACAACAGAGAACTTAAAACCATTTCCGTTAACATCTTACTGCTGCTTGTCAGACCTCCCCAGGCTGTGCCAGTGTTTCCAGTTTCCCTTTCTAGCAACGAAGACTAGAAATCTGCGATAAATGAAGCGAAAGCTGAGGTCCTTGGGATGCCGGATATCTGCATCTAGTACCAAAATCCAGACCTGAACAGCAGAGGTGCTGGATATATGCAGCCTCGTGTGTTGCTAGACGTAGAAGGAAGGTGCCATGGTTATGTCCTATTTAGATGCTGGGGAGTTGCCCGCATCAGGGGTAATGTTCTTCTGTTCATCCCTCAGATTTCTTTCTGGCTGATTGAAAACGGGTTCAGTGTCCTTATTGCCGCCTGTGATACGTTCCGTGCTGGAGCTGTGGAGCAGCTGCGCACTCACACTCGCCGCCTGAATGCATTGCACCCACCGGAGAATCACAGCGGCCACACCATGGTGCAGCTGTACGAGAAGGGATATGGGAAGGATGCTGCTGGGATTGCCATGGAGGCCATTGCATATGGTAAGGCCATCCCCTGCCCCTTGGGTCCAGTCCTTTCATGTCTTGCCACCCATCCTGAGTCACCACGTGCCTGTGGCTGAAGATTCCCCACACACACACCATTTCTGGGGAATCGGGGGTAGCCCCAATGCTGAGCGTTCTCTCAGCCACTTGGAAGTAGGTGTCGGGAGGGGGGTGAAGAAAGGCTCCTCTCCTCCCATCTATCCCCAGCCTTTTTTTCCTCCTCTGTAGGCGGAGTCAGCCATGATTTCTACTCTGCATAACCTGTCACTTGGCTGTGGTCTAACAGGTTTTCAAACCCAGACTGGCCAAAATCGGTCAGTGTAACAGCTGTTTGCTTGGTGTTATTCCCAACCTCAATTGCTGGAAACATCTGTGCTTGAAAAATTTGTTTTATCAAATATTCAGCATTCTGAGAATTTCAATGAACTTTTTAAGAAGCGTGTAACCAGGCCTTCTGACTGTGAAGATAAGGCTGAGAACTTCTGGGCAATGCCTAGTACAAATCCTGAACCCAGGCAAAGACGATAAAATAACACTGAAACCCACAAGATATCAGAATAAAGTATTCATAGACCTGCAGAGCTGTTCATTTCTAAATCGCAGCATGTTCCAGGAACAAGAATTTGGGGTGCAAGTAGTTGTATACATTCAGTGCTACGTATAAATAGCTGTGAATGCTACTGTTTCCTAAACCTGGTATTGCAGAAATTATGGTATTTTGGGGGGGGGGGGAGTGAAACACCCTGTCTTGCTTACACTGAGATAGATAGGCAGGAATCCTTCTTTGCAGTAAGAAATGGTTAGTGATTTTGGACATAAACTCCCTTTGAAAAGTAACGCAACCCAGGCACAATGGCAAAATGCAGATCAGGTATTCGATGTCTCAGTTGTACAACATGTCAAAACAAATCTCCAGGTACACCCTTTAAAAGTAGTAGCCTTACATTTCCCCCAACTGTTACTTCATGTTTATTCCTCCTCACCTGCATGCCCCTTCTTTACAGCACGTAACCAAGGATTTGATGTCGTCTTGGTGGACACCGCTGGCCGTATGCAAGACAACGCCCCCTTGATGACAGCTCTGGCCAAACTTATTGCGGTCAACACCCCTGACCTCGTCTTGTTTGTGGGAGAGGCCTTGGTGGGAAATGAGGCTGTGGATCAGCTGGTTAGTTCCTGAGCTCAATTTGCATGAAACACAAACTGGAGAGATGAAAAACTCTTGGAGGGCTGCTTCCCACGGCACCTTTTTTTAAACACACACACATATGAATGAAGTGATATATTTTACACAGTGTGTTTTGCAAGTAGATGTACCAGGTAGAGATGTGGAGGCCCGGAAAAAAACCGGAACAATTCGGAAAAAGAAAAGAAAAAAAAATTGATTGTGGAACATTTTATTTTAACATGATGAATAAAATATTTTAAGACAATGTGTTCAAATATTTCCCAAATCATTTCTTAAAAATATGTATGGTATCAGATTGATCTAATTTCTGTGCACGGAGGACAAGCAAATCCTAGGTTACAAATTGAACTCTCCAATGCAAGAACAAGATGCATTTCTTCCTTTAGGAGGTGCTATTGTCACAAGAAAATAAAAAGGTTTCAGTTTTGTTTTTGCATGTGGGAGGGTATTCTGTTTGTAATAATTGTTTGGATACACTATATTTTTAATATGCTAGTTGTGATAATTTCATGCCAAGTAAAAATGTCCATAGTCATATTTTATGTTCCTAAAGTAACAGAATGACTTTCAATCTAGAAAAGACAAAAGAAATGCTAATGTAGCATTTTTTTCAATTTTTCCGAAAATTTCCGTTTTTTCCCGTAAAAAAACGGGGAAAAGGGGGGGGGTTCCGAGCTTCAAAATTTCCAGAAATTTTACATCACTAGTACCAGGAAGCATGGGGGTGTGGTCAATTCTGAGCACCCTGCATATGTGCATGTACTCACAAGCACGCTTGTTCATGCTAGGAGAGATGTTCATTCAACCGGCCGTTGATGTGTGAGAACTCTCTCAGGCTCATGTCCTGTTTGCTTCTTTCAACAGGTCAAATTTAACAAGGCCCTCGCTGATCACTCTATGGCTCAGACCCCACGCCTCATTGACGGGATCGTGCTCACTAAGTTTGACACTATAGATGACAAGGTAAACAAAGCCCAACTTATTTGCATCAGGGTGGAAGGGGTAACCCTTGTTTCTTTGCATCTTTAAACAAACAAACCTGTGTTTTGTATGGCTTTGAGAGTCTTGGATCTGTGTAGGCAGCATCTTGAGAAGGCCGGGGAATGAAAGGAGGGCTGAAAAAGGGGCTTTTGAGCAGTCATGGAGTGTGGACTCCTTGGTGCCCTAGCTGCTTTACGTGGGGCTGTTCCTTGTCCAAGAGGATGGCAGAGCATGTCTGCAGGGCAGACTGAAGGCCGCAAGTTGAATAATAATGCCTTTTACTGTTACCTGATGTATTTCAGACCTTTAGGTGCATCATCAGGGAGTTTAAAAAATCCATAGAAAATGTCCCGTTTTAATTGGCAAAAAGCGCCATTGTTACTAGTTCATAATTCATTCCATGGACATTTTTAATAAATGTATTCTAAGAACTGTTACAGGTTGTGAGAGGCATTGGATTAACAGTGGAGGATTTATTAATAATTTGTATTGCATCCTGGGGGCTTATCTCTCTTGTTTTGGGGTGTTCTTTGTCACCTGATCCTTTGGATCATCTACCTGGATGTAGTCTTGCTGTGATGCAGTCATTATATTAAAGTTCCAAAAGGGCTGGCCTGGACCCAGCAGTGCTGCGGGGGGGAGGGTCCCAGCCCCTCCACACCAGCTGATAAACTCTTTCTGATTCATGCTTCTGAGATTCGGCAACAGCTGGCTGTGGGAGACATTAAAACTGGAAGGCAGACAATCATGTTCTGTGCCTTTCATGAGCTTGTAAATCAATATGCTATCCCTTTTTCCTTAAAAAAAGAATTTTGAAATAATTACGCAGAATGAATTGATTTACACTGTTTATTCTGTTTACGTTATTGCCCAGTGTCAGATGGGGCAGGCATGTTTCCCACAGCTGTCCTAGGGCCCATATGCTCTTTTTCCTTCGGGTTTCCTGTCCCTAATGAAGCTAGTGGAGTTGATATACATTGTGCAATACTTGAACAGGATTATATGATAAGGAAGTGTTCCCGGGAGGCAAGGAATCTCTAACGTGTTTGTGGTCACTGGCCTTATGGCAGCCCCACATGGTGAGAGAGATGTAGCCTCAGAATAATAAAGTGCCATAGAAGGAATCGTATTTTCTCTCTGTCTTGCCGCATTGAATATTTATGTAAGAATAATCAGTAGCCATCCGGCACAGCCTTACTGTGCAAAGTCACGTGAACTTGTTCTGATTTTGTTGTGTCTGTTGACAGCAGCTAATGAGCGCTCTATTCCTTTTGCAGGTCGGTGCTGCAATCTCTATGACATACATCACTAGCAAACCAATAGTGTTTGTTGGTACCGGACAAACCTACTGTGACCTGCGTAGCCTTAATGCCAAGGCTGTGGTTGCTGCTCTCATGAAAGCCTAGCCACCAGTTATTGCACCAAATTCTTGTTTGCAGATGTCCCAAGTCCTCTTATTTTATTTTTCCTGGCATAGTGCAAAACAGAGTGGGGGGGGGGACACTAGAGGAAGGAGCTGCTGCTTTGGTCCTTCCCCAACAAGTTCTTCCTCTTGGTTTTCAGTAACGCACACTTTCCTTTATGTAATGAGTGGATTTAATTTGACCAGGGAGGTGCCTGTCTTAAATCATGTTCTACTGATTTAAAATTATCCATGCTGGTATCAGAGCAGTTCCAGTTCTGATATCAGAGCAGGCTGGGACTGGTCTGTGCTGATTCTCTTTCGCAGACTATCCATGCTGGCCACACACATTGGCACTAGGTTTTGGGAGTTTTGGGGAGGGGGGGTTCTTGTTCCGACTAGCATTCATTGGCAACAGAAACCACAGGGTTAATGCAGCCAGCCAGCCAGCCTTCTTCCCTGGTCTCCTTTCATTCTACTTGCAGAGGTGAAACTAAGAGCTTTGTATTGTTCATCCCAGTTACTGGGTGTTATAAAGGCTGGGGGGGGGGGTTGCTCTGCCACTAACTAAGCATTTAAAATGTAGCTGAGGTTCTTTTTGTGCTTCTGCAACCACTTTAAGAATGTGCTTCAGAAAGCACTCTGGGGGAGTTGCCTTGGCCTGTGTCCTAGCAGTAAATTGGCTGCCGTTGGTGGTGCTGTAGAGTGGATCTAGATGCTGCCTACTGCCAGTTCTAGTGGATCAAGCACAACACTTGCTGCTTGCTTTCATCGTAGTAACTCACCAAAGCTTTCAAACCAAAAAAAGGGGGGGGGATTGAAATGGTGAGTCCTGCTGCTTATAGAGGGGCTTTGGGAGGGGGGGGCATTGATGCCTTAAACAGTCTTGCTTCCCACAGGCAGTGGGACTCTCCATAGCAGGGCTGTCCAGATATTGCCCCAGACTGTGGCATTTGCAAAGTGTGGGTCCTTGCAGGCTGTTTCTAATAATTATCTCTTCACCTGATCAGAGAGCTGCTTCTTGTTGGCATCTCTTTTATTGGACAAAACCCAGGCTGAGTCACACAGCTGTTGTGCACCTCCAGGGGTGTACACAGCCGCGCTTGGGCTGAATGTGTCCCTAGTTCACTGTTGAGGATAAGCCGTAATTATGCACGCCGCACCCAGTGGCTGGTTTGTACAACTGAAGCTTGTGGTCAAAATGGAACAAGTTGGATGCCCTCCTTACCCCTCTAACCCTGCAGAGTCCAATCCAAGTAAGGGGAGGGGGAATACATATCTGGCCCCAAGAGGATTTGTGTGAATGGACCCCAGTTCCGATATCAGTGGAGGCTGGGACTGGTCTGTGTCGATTTTCCTTTGTGAAGGCTTCTGTAACTTTACACCAAACCTTATTTCAGCAGCAGAGGTCCTGATACAAAATGGTTAGCACAAAGTATTTGCATGCTTCCCTTAGCTGCACTGGCTTCTTTTTGCTTTTCCAAACAAGTCTGTGAAAGGAAATTCCTGGTGGGAAAACGCTGGTGGCTGCCTGCTGCTTTTCTCCCTCCTCCCTTCAGAGTGCCTCTCGATCCTGGTAATAAAAGTGCTATGTTGGGTAATACAAAACTCTTATGAAGATGTCTCGTAGCTTGGTATTGCAGATGTGCTATCTAGTGCAATAAGTTGAATGCTGTCTGCTAAAAAAAAAGAAGTAATTTATATAATAAAAATCGATTTAAAAACTTTTGCCGTGTCCTTGGTCAGCAAAAGCAGCGGTAACAGAGAAACCCAACAAATAATCACCGGGGTATTTTAATTATCCTTTATGAAGCGGCTGTCTACTGGATTAAGATGTTGGTCCCTCTAGCCTACTCCTGCTCTTCCAGCACTTCATATATCTGATAAACTGGTGGTGCACAGGGACTGAATCTGTATGCTACTGCATGTAAAATGAGCTATACAGCCTTTCCCTGTTCCAGCAAATCCTATATTCTCAGTCCCTCTCTTCACCCAGGGGAGTGGTCAATTTTCTGCTGCGACCAGTACTATACTGAACTCTTCCTAAGGGTTTAATGGAGAAAGTTCCCTGAAGGTAAACATGTTAAAAATCGCTCATATATATTTGACTCTGGCTTGGGAAAATAAGCTGTGCTGTCTTTACGGTCGGCTAGATTGGATACCTTCAAGGAGCTCTCCCACTCAAGAGACAAATGAACAGCTTTTTATTACAGCCTCAGACATATAAAACACCATATAAAGAAGGACTAGAAAACTAGAGCTTCAAGTCATCTTTTTAAAAAAAACGCTCATGTTTCAGTCAAAACACTTACAGAGTACCAAAAGCACTAAGTAGCAAACTCTTGGGCAAGGAGAACCACCAGATCTCCCTGCAGAAACCATCTTAAATAGAAAAAGGACATTGCATGGATGCAGACGAGTCTTCGTGCCCGAGTCAGGAGCGTTGTGTCAAGTCAAGGAGTTTCTCGTGTCAGGGCAGCAGCCAGAACCCGGGCACGTCAAGAACCAGCCGCAGAGAAAGTAATGCTTCATTTTTCCTTCCGGAGTGACCTTGAGAGCCATGTGCCCTACTGAGCCGCCCGGTACCTTACTTTCGGTTGTCAGCATAAGGATTAACCTGTAGCGCCCAGGGGGCTTGGCCAGCTCCGGAGCTGCACTCTGAACAGAGGTCAGGGTCTTCCGTCATCTGGGTGGGTACTGCAGACCCTGCCCTTAAACTAAAGCAACAGGAAACATTCTTTAAAAAAAACACCTTTAACAACTAGAGAGGTTTGGTGGTTGTTCAGTCGCACAGTCGAGTCCGACTCTTCGCGACCCCATGGACCAGATCATGCCAGGCCTTCCGGTTTTCCGCCGTCCTCTGAAGTTTGCTCAACTTCATGTTCATTGCATCTATGACCTCTATGAGAGGTTTGGTAACAGACAGCTAATATACCGGGGTGGGTGGGTGTTAAATGAACACCTTGCAACTCTTTCTCCATAGTTGAATCAGTCCTTGTGGCTACACATTCAATACCTGTTATATGAAGTACTCTTCTAAAATCACTTTGAGATGCATCGCACAAGATGTGCCCTGCTTGATCAGACCAGTGGTCAATATAGTTCATGATCTTATTTCTCACAGTAGCTGATCCATCAGGGCAGAGAGGCCAAGGCCAGCTAATATTCACAGGTTTACTGCCTGTCACTATGGAGGTTCCCTTCTGCCATCCTGGCTCGTCTCCATTGATAGACCCATGAGAATATTTAGTTTTGGAGGGGGGCAAACATGCCCAAGAGAACTGTTATCTCTCCTTGCTTATGTGCCCAAACTAGTACGTGTAGATCTTGCCTATGAGTTCCTGATGCTGGAAGAGTTAAAATATCGTGAGGTGGGGGGGATCTACAGAGAAGCACAGTCAAATTCAGGCCATTTTTTTTTCTTGCACTTGTGTAAGAGTAGCCTTTTAGTGCTGCTGATTATTTAGTGGTGGGAAGGTATTCCACGTAAACCCGTTGCAATCACTGGAAGACACATTATTCTAATCTAGGTCTTCACTTTCACTGCACATAGGGATTTCTCTAATCTATTTTAACTGACAAAGCTAGCTTTCCAAGCTCATTTTTTGTTCTCTACTTTATATTTCTTTTGCAAGAGCAGCACACAATGCATGGAAGATCCACCCCACCAGTGCTGGAATTAGCTCAACTGACATGCTCCACGACTCCCTCATCCTTGTTCCTCTGATCCTCTGCTGTCATAAAAGCTGGGAAGGAGCTCTTTTAAATGCATCCCCTGTTCTTCCTAAGGATGCTTCTGCCAAATGCCTTCCTCTGTGCTAACTCCTGAGTCCTCATCACACATCCCACGGATGTACTGTTTCAGCACCTAAGGTAGCTGCTGGTTGGCAAGACCTGTCTGTTCAAAGCTGGCCTTAGGGAGAGACTATTAAGTAAACACCTTACCTTTCATTTCAGTGTGTGTTCCAGCTGTGCCATTTAGCTGTCCTTCTCGAGGCAGACCTGGCAGATTGGGGGGGAAAGTCCAGTGATTGGAGGGTGGCAGATCAGCTACTAGTTTCACCCGAACACAGACTGGACTACAAGAGAGGTCAGGGATCAGCCTGCACTTGTGACAACCACCCATTTCAAAACTGCTTCCCTGTGCCCTGATCTGGGCAGCCCAGGCAAGCCCGGCCTCATCAGATCTCGGAAGCTAAGCAAGTACTTGGTTGGGAGACCTCCTTGGAATACCAGCAGTCAGGAGGCGGGGGCAGGCTTTATTCAGCCACTTCTCTGAATATCCTCCAGGCCCCCAGTAGGGGTCTGTCACCAGAGGTCATCATGACTTCCAGGTGTACACACACGTGCACATATAAAAAAATATAACCCACCCCCCAAAAACCTGCTTCCCTGTGATGGAACAGACGTGGTCAGTTCCACAAGTGGCCGTTGTTTAATACACTGGAAGAGGCCATACCCCCAAGTGCATTCATCACTCTAATCTGCCATTTATAAGAAGCTCTGCTACACATTTGGAAAACGTTAGCAGTAATGCTGCATCTCATCTGCATACTTGTGTTTTAGAGGGGTGGAGGTTTCCCCCCACCAGCACACACACGCTCTCCTCCTCAGTATGGTACTCGTGCACAGCTGAATTCCTTCTCTTTCAAGGCAAGCGGTGTATGGAATCCAAACGGATGGTAAAAATACCTCCCCGCAGGAGCATGCTACGTCTACCTTGAAGCCCTGGAACCTTTCCATTGTTCCTCCAACCCAGCAAATCTACTGTTTCGCGCAAGTAGTTCAGTTTCTACGGAAGCCAAACTGAGACGGAATCCACAGTTTGGTAACAAACTCAGATCTATTATGTCATCTCTGTTCTGCTTAAACTAAGCGTTTGCCTCTTGGAGTCTGGTAGTGTTCAGAATTCTCACCCACACACACACCCCCAAAAATTCTTCCTACCAGTGGCATGTTGCAATACAACGAATATTCCAATTATAAAACAGAACGGTTTCAGAGGGTTGCTGTGTTGGACTGCAGCAGAACAGCTAAATTCCAGTCCAGTAGCACCTCAAGAGACCAAGAAGACCGCCAAGGTTTAAGCTTTGACCCTCAAAAGCTTATTCCCTGAAAATCTTGTTGGTTTCTACAGTGCTACTGGACCCCAATATAGAGAACAGAAATCTAGTTTGGCACCCTTCAGGAACTGGGATGGCCGAACCGGAGGCCAGTCTAGATGGCAGCCTATGGGGCTGGATGTGGATTCTACTGCCCAATCCAGCCCCATCTTGGGTGATCAAAATCAGTGGTACCCTTGAGTAAGGGTACTGCGTTACAGAGCACACAGTCAGAAGGTATGTACCCTGTAGAACAAAACCATTAAAGCTCTGGGCCAAGAAATCCAGAATCCTGCAACAGCTTCAATAAATTATGCAAAGAAGATTCTTTGCTTGATTTAAGCATTTTAACTAATTCATGGTGATTCTGCTATCACAAGGAGGACCATGAAGCCTCATCATCCACAGCCATGTCTATGGCCTCTACTGTGTCCTAACAGGAATTCCCCACCTACCTTCTAGCCATGAGGACTAGAACTTCGCCTTTTGTTTTTCCAATGAAAGCAAAGCTGAATCTAATATTGCTGCACTTACACACAGCATGTGCTTTATGTACAATTCCCAAGATGACATGCAAGACTGAAGCTGCAGAACTTCCCCAGTCCTATCTTTTGCAAGGTACTTTCCCCACTTACAAGTAAAAAGAGGCAAGAAAAAAACCCACATTTTGATTACAATGCTAACACAAAGACACTGTCCCAGTTTGCCGTCCCAGTTTGCCATCCCAATTCCAGGTGACCCCTAGTGTGATAACAGTTTCTCTTACCTGCTCGACCCCGGTTGGAGATCTCATCTGTAAGCCTCTCAAAATATTCAGGCAAGTCTGCGTATTCGTTCCCATAGGAAATCACCTTAATCCCTTTGTCCAGCATGTTTTCTCGGAGCTTCTTGAACTCGTCCACGTCGCCGCGGCGCACAAGCATAAAATGCTCCAAGTCGGATTTGTGCTTCACAGCTTCTAGGAAGAGGGCTTGAAATGTGGTATCGTCCACAGTCCAACCACAGCCCAGAAACAGGAATGATTTTGTTTCGTACAACTTCTGGATCTCCCGCTTCAAGAGAAAAAAAATATAAGATACTTTAGCAAGGACAGAGGCATTCTAGAATTGGGAGGAAGCAAGAGGTCAGCTTGGCTTGTTCCTTGTTGCCAAAGCAGTACCTGCAGCCCAACACAGATCAGCCAGTCTATACAATCTATACAAATCAGAGCTCAGTGCTTACCCAGGCAGAGTCACTATGCTATGGAAAGATGCTTGCAAGAGGAACCTATAAAAGACTCATGCGGTTGAGGCTGGTTCAACCTATTGCTCTCCAAAAGGAGGAACCACATGCCTCAATCTCTCTCTGCTTGTTCTGAAATGCTGGAGGAGTGACCAAGTTCCCTTCTAAGACCACCTATGCAGAAGAAAAGAGCAAGAGTCCACTAGGACCTTAAAGACGAACAAAATGCTTGGCAGGGCATGAGCTTTCATGAGTCACTGCTCACTTCTTCAGATAGACCTTGGATCTAGCACCTATGCAGAGATTAGGATGGAAGGATGGAATTGCTTTCCTTTGCACCCCCCACAGGAAAAGGCGGAGAAACTGCATTCTTATTCCAAGTAGCAAACTGGCCCAGTCCTTCCCTAGTACGATATATTACTGATATTTTATATTCTCCAGGGTAATTTTGAGCTGTCAAAAGACTCAGACAGAGCCTGATCAGTGCTGTTAACGTTGGAGAAAATGGGAGCTCCCGGCCCTCAACTCTGCCAGTTGATCAGTGACGGCTAGTTGCTCAGAGTCTAGAAAGGCTTTAAAGGGACGGAGTAAGCTCTCCTCAGTGGAATGCACAGATGTAGCGGTCCCGATTTGAGTCTTTGGAAGGAATAGCTCGGCGGTCCTCCCAACTAATTAGATCCTTGGTTAAGGCCCGGCCAGGTTCTCTTTCAGTGTCCGAAATTAAAGATATAAGGGTATTTGCAAAGGGGATTCTTTTGTTAATGAGAGTACAGATAATGTAATGTAGTACACATCATATAACACAATAATGTAGCATCTTGCCCTGCATTCATTTCATCTGGCAACAGCTCTTTCCTTTTAGGGCACACATCAAGTGACAAACAGCAGCTTTAAGGCTTTCCCTTGTTGGTCCGGTTGAGGACCTCCTCATCCCCTCTAGGACAGTGAAGCATGGCAACAGAGTCCTAAAAGCCTCTCCAGTCCTGTTCACCCTAAGCCAGGGGTGTCAGGCATACGGCCCAGGGGCCGGAACTGGCCCGGCCAGGGCTTTTATGCGGCCCGTGAGCAACTAGTGCAACGGAGGGAACAGGAGACTGTTCAGGGGAGTGGGCAGAGCGACTCCAATTGCATGGCAGAACAACCTCATCTGTAGCAGTCAAGCAGCGTGAGAACTGCACTGCATGTCCAGTGCTGCACTACTGGCTCTCCAGTCCACCCATACAGGTTTTCCTTTGCACCCTCCTCCCAGTCCATGGGGCCTTGCAGTGAGGACACACCAACTCGGAGCTTACCAGCTGCGGTCCTTTATGCAGTTTATATCTCCAGGACCTAGCATTATGTTTTATGGCACACACTAGAAATAAGGCCCGTTGTGGAAATAAATACAACGAGATCTAGAAAGAGGCTCTGGGAGAGTGCTCTGGCTTTGGGCAAACAGTGTCAGTCTGCTTTTAAAACATGAACCTGGGACCTGCACACCACCAGAATACAGCAGATTCCATATGCAACTGACATTCCAACTGCCTTGCGGGGGGGGGGGAGTTTGAGGTGTGGAATGGAGTGAAGTCCAATCAGCTTCCATATGCAAAAGACCAGGTTGTCGCAGCAGTTGTGGTGTGGGCGGGACCCGGGCTTTGCCTTCTGATTGGTGGCGATATATGCTGAGGAGCAGTGCCATCAGCCATACACTAAGGGAGTGCATTTTAGAATTAGAACTTTGGCACCCACTATTCAATTATTATATATAAAGGAGAGATGGCCTTGGCCCAACCGGACAAAGTGACATTTATGTCAAATCCAGCCCTTGTAACAAATGAGTTCGACACCTCTGCTCTAAGCCAAGCCACACTAGGGTAGGGAAGAAGCACTGCCACCAAGGTTCAGTGAGTAGGAACTCAAGGAGAACTCCTTAGCAGCCCCAGATACGACAATCCATCACATCCCATGCATGAGCAAATCTGATCCGCAGCACCGAACACATTTCACACACACCACCATCTTTGAGAATGTTTGATTTGCATGATTTACACATGGATGGATGTTTCAGTCTTCGAGGATATTTGGTTGCTCTTCTGAAAGAATATTATGCAGCAAAGTAGACTTCAAAACCTGGACACTGCTGAATTAGAATTCATGAGCAGGTCTGACAACATCAAACAGGGGCTCAACAGTCTTGGACGTTTCTGACTCTATAAGTGGATGACATAACTAAATGGTCTGTAGACATGAACAGGAGTCTTGTGGCACCTTAAAGACTACCAAGTTCAATAGCAGTTAACTGGTGAACAGTCTCTATACTCTTCATTACATCTGAATGTTTCATAATTACATCTCACCTTGTACTTCTTGCATTTCACGACCCTTTGATTTTTTAAAAAATCTTTACTCTGCCTAATGAGATCCCACTACATGAACACACATGAAGCTGCGTGTCTCTCAAGGTTGGTATGGTTTACTCTGGCTGGCAGCCGCTCTGGGAATGCTCACTCACTGGGTGTATCTGTATATTTCTCAGCTCTGCAAGGAAGCATTACAAACTCAGCCTTTTAAGACCACAGCTCACACTTTTTCCTTTCTTCTCCCTGTATAAAAAGTCCGGCTGATTGAGGATTCACTTCACTGCATCTGAAGAAGTAAGCTCAAGCCTAGGGTAGCTTATGCTACAAAACAAATGTTAGTATTTAAAGGTACCAAAGGACCCATGTAATATCTTAAGTGTCTCAGAATTTCTTTTGTTAGCTGCTACAGAAACCACTGCTGACTGATAGACATACACGTTTCGGAATGAGTACAATTTTTACTGGTCCCAACTTGGCAACCCAGTTGAACTCTAGCGGCATGCCAACAATATCTTTCCGTTTGGCCAACTGCGTGAGAACATGGATGCATCCAATGCACGGCCCGTTCAAAGCAATACAGCAGTGACAGATTGTATCTTCACTCAGACATGTACTGGAACATGCATCTAATGAGCAATATGTAGGCATTTATGTATGCCTATGTGCAAAGTTTATCTACACATATAGTTTGAGGCCTCCATCTCCATCTTGGCAATCCCTGACCTTTAGAAGACTGAGTCTAGCCCTGGGCTACGCATATTTGAAAAGCTTGCACCTTCTGATAATGTAGCCTTGCACCTTCTTAGGTTCTGGAAGCCTTCGCCCACTATGAAAGTCAACCAACAACAGAGACAGAACTGCACTGCTCACCATGACCTCTGTGTTGCGCAGGACATTCTGGTAGCCAGCAGGATGCAGCACTATTCCACTGGGGTTTGTGTACACTCCATGGATATGTAAAACACTAAGCTTCCTTTTCTCCTGTGCCCACTCCAGCACCTATTATTTGAGGGGGGGAAAGACAGAAGAAATGCTCTACATTCAAAATGAAATTTGCTATAAAGGACCAGTCCATCTGGTTTCTCTAAAAGACTGACCTTGGCCAAGAGGTTAGCAGTTCAAGACAGGCCACTAACAGGAA